GCAGCAGACGTGGGCGCTGTGGACACATCCAGAGGCCCAAGTCTGAGGCAGAGGGAGGCAGAAAGAGGGAGCAGTGGGGAGGACAGTGCAGACTGCACGGGGCCCTAAGGCCTTGTAGAAACCTGGAGGGTAGTGGACTGGTACCCACTGGGAGACTGTGTGCCCCTTGTCCATCCTCCCTCCCTCTTATGCTGTGTCTGGCGCTGTTGTTCCCACCTGAGTGCTCAGGTGTCCAATGATCAGGGCCTGCTTATGAGTGAGAACTCGCGGTATTCAGTTTTTTGTTTCTGTGATAGTGTTGATAGGACATCCTTGAAGTTGAAGAGAAAGACAAGGAGGAGAAACAGAAGTCAATATTTCCTCAAATGCCTCTTCCCAGATGGAGCTGGGATCTCCCAGCACATCTAACATGGTGACCATCTCACTCCAACCTGGATCTCCTGCTCTGTGTGATCAGGTCCCTCTGCAGAGCTGCAGACATCTCCAAGGTCAGGGTTCAATCTGCATCAACACCCCGAAAAGCGCCACCACCCTTCCCTGGGCATCCTTAGGAGCCAGAGTCTGTCCTGGGCAGAGGGACCATTCCCTGTGAGCAGTGCCTGGCCCTGCCTGGGCAGAGGTGGGTGGTCACATCGAGAGGTCAGAACTCGGAGGCTGATGAGGGTCTGCAGTATCGTGGGAGGGTGACAGGGATTGGAGCACAGTCCTTGAGTCAGGAATTCAGGGTTCTGGGAATCCATATCCTGTGACTGCCTGAGTTCCAACCATGTCTACTCTGCCCACTCCCTCCTGAGAACTCCCTTTCCACTCCAGAAGAGCAATACCCTCATCCCCAGTCTGTGTCTCCCCCACCACAGCCACCTGCCCTCTGGCATTGGGAAGGTCAGGTGACTTGTCTGTCTCCCAGTCAGACGCTGCTCTCCTCAAAGGCAGCAAGGCTGGGTCTGTCCTTCTCATCATTGCTGGACACCTTGAGGCACAGCATGGATTCTCGACACCTGGATGGTGAGTGAATGAATGCATGAAGTGTCTTCCCTCATCTATCAGAGAGTTGATAGTTCTTCCTTCTAAAATCAACATAAGCCTCCCCTCTCCAGTCCTGTCGATCCTGCACAGACAAGAGAAATGACGTGGCCCCTGAGCAGTCCCCAGAGCACGAGACAGGGTGCTTGTGTGGTTGGGGAAGGTCACTTGCCATGCCAGTCCATTCAGGCTGTGATAACAAGACACATAGAAAGACAGGGAAGATCCAGATCAATGTACAGGCTGATTCAGTGTCTGGTGAGGGCCTCCTTCCTCACAGATAGTGCCTTTTCCTGTCCTCATGTGGTAGAAGGGGAACACGCTCCCTCAGGTCTCTCTTACAAGGGACAAATTCCATGAGGGCTGTACTATCATGACCCAGTCATGACCCATCCTAAAGACTCCAGTTCCTAATACCATCACCTTGGAAGTTAGAATTTCACCTTATGAATTTTAGGGTGACTCAAATATTTAGATCATGGCACTTGCCACTCTGAACCTTAGTGTCTTCTTCTACAAATTGGAAAATGGGGCTAGAGGGTCTCCCACTTTCCCAGGTGATAATTGGGTAAGAAGTTCTTCTTTTGCACACAGTTAGATTCTCTGTGGCCTTCCTGTGTCTTTCCTTCACATTCTTCTGCTTTTCTCTGCAAATTGGGAACCCCAGAACATTGAGAAGCCATGACCCAGCCCTTCTGACCATTGAGACGAGACAAGTTTCCCTACCAGGAGAGAGGGATTGTGCAAGGATGGGGGGCCCAGAAGGCCACAGAATTCAAAGCAGCATTCTCAAATGATCAACTGAAAAGCAGGGAGGCAGCGAGCATTAATGTGATGCTGCATTTGAGGTAAGATAGACAAGTGGGATCTCATCAAACTGAAAAGCTTCTGCAAAGCAAAAATAAACCATCAACAGTGTAGGAAGACAGCCTGCAGGTGGGAAAAAACATTTGCCAACTGCATATCTGACAAAGGCCTACATCCAGGATCCACAATGAACTCAAAGGTGCTGAGAGACAAAACACAAGCAGTCCTATTAAAAAGTGGGCCAAAGATATGAATAGACACTTGTCAAAGTAAGCCAACAGATACATGAAAAAATGCTCAGTCTCACTAATCATCAAAGAAGTGCAAATTAAAACCACACTGAGATACCACCTAACTCCAGTCAGGTTGGCCATCATCAATAACATGGAAAACCACGTTATTGCTGGAGAGAATGTGGGGAAAACGGAACCTTTCTATGCTGTTTTTGGGCGTGTAAACTAGTACAACCTCTGTAGAAAACAGTGTGGTGAGTCCTAAAAGATCTAAAGATCGATCTTCCATAGGACTCAGTAATCCCCCTTCTGGAAATATACCTGGAGGAACTCAAATCATTCTATAAATAAGATACCTGCACACACTTGTTTATTGAAGCATTATTCACAATAGCAAAATCCTGGAACCAACTGTGCAGCCCATCGAAAGTAGACTGCATTTTAAAAATGTGGTACATATACATGATGGAATATTATTCAGTTATCAAGAAGGACAAAATTATGAACTTTGCAGCAACTTGGATGGATTTAGAGTCTATCATACTCAGTGATGCATCACAGAAACAAAGAACTGAGTACCATATGTTCTCACTCATAAGTGAACCCTGAACATTTATCATAGTACTATAAGAAAGGGATTGGCAGTAGCAGGAGGAGGGGTGGGGAGGGCACTTAACATCAAAAAGTGTACCTAATCTGATCCCAAGTCAGGTGAAGTGGGGACCAAAGGGAGGCCCAAAGTTTACCTGTACAATGATCACTTAGCTACCTAATTCTGAATTGTATTCCACATCTTTAAAATAAAAATGTAAACATTCAAAAAGAAAGTGAGACTGGGGGCTCCTTCAGGGGGACATGTGGTATGGCCCATAGGAAGGGGAACAAAGTACTTGCAAGGTTGTATTTCTTGAATACTGTTCATTTGTGCAAATCACTGACTTCTTTTGGGGACACTTTATTTTTTTCTTTATTTTAAAGATGTGGGGGACAATTCAGGGTTAGGTATGCAAATGTTCATTTTGCAGGTACCCTTGTGGATGAGGTGTGCCCCTCCCTCCCCTGGCAGTTTCCCTCAACTGCCAATCCCATCCCCGCATCCCCTAGCAGATTCCCACTATTGCCAAACCCTTTCTTATAGTATTATGATAATTGTTCACAGTCTGCTCATGAGTGAGAACATATGGTACTTTGTTCTTTGTTTCTATGAAAGATCACTGGGTACGATCGACTCTAAATCCATCCATGTTGTTGCAAAGTCCCTATGTTTGTCCTTCTTTATGGTTGCATGATATTCCATTGTGTATATGTACCACATGTTTTAAATCCAGTCCAGCTTCGATGGGCAATGGGTTGGTTCTGTGTTTTTGCTATTGTGAAGAGCTGTAACAAACTTGTGTGTGCAAGTATCATTTTGCTAAAATGACTTTTGTTCCTCCTGGTATATTGGGGGGGGCACTTTAATACTGATAGCTTCTGTTTATCCTAAGGAGGTCCCACCTCCTAGCATCTTGTTTCTCCAGGCCAGTCGCACAGTTTTTAAAAATCTCCTGTTGAGTTCAGAGCTGTGTTTCTCCTCCCATGAAATCCTGACACCCTGAGGGAACAGTCCCAAAGCTGTTGTCCTTGTTCCATGTCTCCTGTCCACCTGGGCTTCTGGACTTCTGGGAAAGAACCTATAGGAGCAAAGCCTATAGGGATCGGCAGAATCATCATGCTCTGAGTGACCAGGGGACGTGTGTCTTAGTGACTTGACAGTGGGGAAGAAATCCTACCTGGTGCCAAGAGAGCTGCGAGGAAAAAGAAATTCCCACCCTTTTCAAAACCTGCCCCTTCCCTATGACTTTTGTCCCTTCAAATCCCATTGCATGGCAGTCACAGTCTTAGGTTCCCAGGTCTCCTGCGACCAGGCTTCTCTGTTGTCTTTAGTGTGTGTTGACACACAGAGCCTTCAGCTCCACAGCCCTGTGTCCCCTGCTCAGTCCTCCTGAAACCCAACCTCCAACTTCCAACTGAGGGATGAGCCCCCATCCTGCCTGTGCGTCCCCTACTGAAGTTCCTGTGGTGGGAGTTTAGATGTCAGGAGACTTATCTCCCACT